TTCCTTTCCCCTCTTTCCTTTCCCCTCTTTCCTTTCCCCTCTTTCCTTTCCCCTTCCTTTCCCTTTCTTTCCTTTCTTTCCCTTTCCTTCCTCTTTCCTTTCCTTCTTCCTTCCTTTCCTTCCTTTCTTTCCTTTCCTTTCTTTCCTTTCCTTCCTTCTTTCCTTCTTCCTCCCCTTCCTTTCCTCCCTTTCCTTTCCCCTTTTCTTTCCTTCCCTTTTTTTTGAGATACAGTCTCACTCTGTCACTGTGGTGTCAGCCTAACTCACAGTAACCTCAAACTCCTGGGCTCAAGCAGTCCTTCTGTTTCAGCTCCCAAGTAGCTGGGATACAGGCATGCACTATGATAACTGGCTAATTTTCTATTTTTAGTGGAGAGCTCAGGATGGTCTAGGACTCCAGAGGTTGAGCAATCCTTCTGCCTCAGTCTCCTAGAGTATTAAGATTATAGGCATGAGCCACCACCCCAGCCCTCTTTCTCTATTTTCTGTCATTGCTTTTTTTTTTTTTGCTTAATTATGACTTTTGTTTTATCTTTTATATTTCATCTTTCTACTTAATTTGGCTTTGATTGTTCTTTTTCTGATCCTTGAGTTGGGAACTCACATCAGATCTTATTGTTAATGTAAACCTTTAATACTATGTATTTTTCTCCATGGTTTCCTTTAGTTGCATTCCAATTTTTAATTTCATTGTCATTTAGTGTAATGTATTTTCATTGTCATTTAGTTAAAATATTTAAATCTTATGATTTCTTTATAACTCATAGATTATTTAGAAGTATGTTGCTTATTTCCAGATATTGAGGAGAAGGTTATGTTAGTATCTTATTTTCATTATAAAAATATACTTCCGTTTTAGTCAGAAAACATGCTTATTTTGTTCTGTTAAATTAATGAAGACTTGTTTATAGCTCATTATATACTTCTTTTTGGTGTTCACACCATATGCAGTTAAACAGAATATGTATTCTGCTAATGTTAGAGATAAGTTCTTTAAATGTTACTTAAGTAAATGTGATTAGTATATTGTATAAAATTTTAGATTTAAATAGAGAAAACAAAATTGATAAAACCAAAAGCTAGTCTTTTCAAAAAAAATCAATAAAATTAATAAGCCTCTAGCTAAACTGATCAAGAAATAGAGAAAACAAAATTTACCATTATCAGGAATGAAAGAAGAAACATCACTGCAGATCCTACAGACATTAAAAGGATATTAAAGAAATAGCATGAAGAACTTTATACCAATAAACTGATAATCGATAAAATGGATACATTTCTTAAATAAAATAAACTACCAAACCAGATCCAAGAAGAAATAAAAAATATAAATAGCCCTGTGGTAGGGGTCCACCGTCTCAGACCACTCTCCAGCTTGATGAGTGGCTAAACGAACTTACAAGACTCATAAAGTTGTTATAGTCATGTTATGGTTCATTACACCAAAAAGATACACAGTAAAATGAGCAAAAGGAAAAGAGCATAGGGTGAAGTCCAGAGGAAACTGAGGTGTAAACTTCCAAGAGTTCTACTTAATTCTGTCAGCAACAATGTAAGTTGACATGTGGAAAGTTTAAAACAGAAAGTCCAGGGTTTTTATTTAAGTTGGGTAGGCATACAGTACCTACATCATTGACATCAGTAACTGAAGCTCCAGACCTCAGAGGAAAGGCAGGTATTCACCATAAATCACATTGTTATTATAGTAAAAACTATCTGGACAAACTGGTACAGCATTGTTCAAGGCCACAGACATGCAAAACCTTCAGAAGAGAACATTCTGAGAGCTCAGTTCACCACAGCCAGCCAAGGCTCTGAAAACAGACTTTTCTTACAAATATGCAAGACTGAAACAACCCAAGCCTGCTAGGTAACCACTTCCTACACAGCCCTACATCAAATAAGCAACTTGAATTCATAATTTAAAACCTTGCCATAAAAGAAACTCCAGGCCCAGAAAGCTTCATAGTAAGGATGAAATATATCAGTTAGGATGAAACAATACTAATCCTACATAGACTTTTTTAGACAACACAGGAGAAATACCTCCCAACTCATTTTATAAGGCCAGATTACCCTGACAGCAAAACCAAAACTATCACAAGAAAACAAAAATCCTTAACAAAAGTAAGCAAATTGATTTTAACAGCATATGAAAAGATTAATATACCATGACCAAGAGGGATTTATCCTAGGAATAGAAAGGCTTAATAACTGAAAATCAATCCCAGTAGTTTATCATATGAAGAAAACATAAAAAAAATCATATGATAATTTCAAAAATGACAGAAAATCACTGGATAAATTTCACTACCAATTAATTCATGATAAAAACTCCCAGCAAACTAGAGATAGAAGAAACTTAACATTAGAGGCTTCTGCAAAGAATTCTACAGCTAATATCTTATTCAATGGTAAAAGGCTTAATGCTTTCCACATCAGGAACAAGGTAAGAATGATGACTCATCACTTTTTTCCAACACCACAATGTAGATTGTCAGTGCAATATGATAAGAAAAAGAAATAAAGGACATATAGAATAAAAAAGACATAAAATTATATTTGCACATGATATGATCATCCAGGTAGCAAAGCCTAAGAAATCTACAAAATAACAGAACTAATAAGTGAATTTAGTGAGGATACATGATCACTTTATAAAAAGCAATTTTAGTTCTATATGTTAACAATGACCAATTGGAAAATGAAATTAAAAAGACAACTTGATTTTTACAAGCATCTCAAAAGCTCAATGACACTTAAAATAAATGAATGAATAAATAAACATAGCATCAATAACTACTAAAAAACAGATTTAACAATATGTGCAAAACTTGTACCATCAAAAACATACAAAGCATACATACATACAAAACACTGCAGAGGGAAATTACAGAAACCCATATTCATGGATTGGAAGACTTAATTATGGTGAAAATAGTAATTACTACCTCATCCGCTCTCCTGCAAAGCCTCACCTGATCTTCACGATTATCACCCACAACTACTCTGCAGCCAGTATGTCGAACTCTCAAAGTGTTCTCTCGCTTTCATCCTTTCAACTCTCAGTTCCCCACTACCACTAAATGTGCCTCTCCCTCTTCTCCATCTATTATTCATTTATCCCAACCAATTCCCCAACCTGTCAAGCCACTCCTCAACCTCTCCCTAGCATTCCACTAGTTTCTATAATACACCACCAGCTGGTTCCCCTCCCTGTGCTACCATTAACACAGGTGACTATAAAGGCTCTCTTCTCACCTTGCCTCTACCCTGTCACTGGGATAGAATTCATTTCCACAGTTACAAGGAAGCTCTCCAAATAGCTCTCAATCCTAAATCTCTAGCCTCTATCTCTACACTATACATCAAGCCTCAATTTCCAACTGACAAGAGGGCCATACTAGCTGGATCCTTTTTATTAATCAATAATGAAATGTAGAGAAAAAAGGAATACAGCTACAAGTACACATATGCGTAGACTTATAAAAAATAAACATGTACACTCCAGGTACTTTTTAATATGTAATTATAATACTTCACAGGGTGAGGATTAGTTCATTAATGTACTTACAGCAATATATGAAAAACAATAAACACTATATAAGTGTTATAATATTCAATAGTATATAAATATTGTCCTTAATACATAATATACACATAATATGCTTTTGTATTACACACTTGATCAATTTTATTAATATTTTTGGTTGGACACTGCAACATATTAAAGAACGGCACAAATTTACACATGTCACAAATAATAGAAAGTTAATCAATGCTGACATACTGAAGAAAAAGATATATAAGGTATTGACTATGGGGTCATTTTAGGGTATTGAGTAAACAGTACTACATTAAACTCCCTGCATCAATGCCAAACTAATTCCATTTCCAGTTTTAATAAATGATGGCTTCAAGGTACTCTTCACCCAACCATATGCACTCCATCCCAAGGAGGAGGGCTACTGTTCCCAAAAGGTCAATTGTCCTGATCAAGCACATATCCTTGGGGAAAGACTAATTAAGCAGGAGGAACATAAATTAGGTCTGTACAAAAAGATCACGTTTTCTCTTTTTCTCTAGTTAGTTTTACTGGCAAAGGTGCTTTGAATATTTAGTATCATTACACAAAATAGAAACAATTTCAATAGCAAAAAATGATGATACAATGCTTGGAAAATAAAACCAAAACTATACAATTAGCATCCCTTATGGAATCACACACCCATCTTCCTTGTACCCTCTCTTAAGCTGTCATCGTATCAATAGTCTTTTGGCTCAGAATGTTCCTGTTATTTGTTCATTTGTTTTGTTATATGTCAACAACATGGCAAAACACATAGTAGCAGTAACACATTTTAAATTTTATTTGAGAGGGGGACTTTAAAGCTTTAAATTAAGAAAAATTTTATCAATTAACCATACTTCTATAATACAGATGGGGCTTGGGGGAAAATATAACTTTAGTACTAGACTTTATCAGTCCAGCTAATAGAAAACAGTATTTTACTGGGTCATGCTCATTCAATAAATCCACATATATGTACTGAGTTCTTAGTACAGGTCATGAGTAATCTGAGAAACCTGTGGAGTACTTGGGGGCTAAGTCCTAAAAATCCCCAAAAGTACCAAATCATTAAGGTCTGGATATACCTGACTAGGCCTGCTTCACAGGACATATGCTATCTTACAATTGAGCCCCCACAATAAAAATTAAACTAAATGGCTTCTAGGAGCAGGTGAAAACTTGATCAGTTACTGTCTTTCATCTAGACGAATCAATCTCAATTTTGCTTTTCACATTCTCCATCAAACACCTAAAACTAGGATTATGTTTACTTTTTGTTTTATTTTACTTACATTTAAGATTAGGACATTTTAATTATAACAAAAATCTAGTGATATTTAAATATTTTATGTTGTATTTCAAAGTAATTGAAAAGTGTATGATCCCTTTATAACAAAAGGAATCACGAGAATTATAAATCAACCAGTACCTCAATATTTTTACTGGCCACATTCTTCACAACAGCAGGAAACAGTTCAGATGCATTTTTCCCTTTTGCAATCATCTGAAGAATAAAAGCAGAATATTAGGACAGAACCTTCTTTTAAATTAGTAATTTAAAAACAAAATAGATATTTTGAAAAATTCTATATACATTAAATATTTAGAAGATTATGTCAACAAATAAGCCATTTAATTAATAGCTGAACTCTTTTTGAGTAATCTTACTTATCTCAACTGTTTGCAGCAAAGAATAAGCATCTCTCATTTATCAATATAAATACACAAATACATAGCCACATAAAGAAGAAAAATAGTAATTAAAGACATATATTAAAATATTAACAATAGTTTTCTCTGGCTAATTGGGTTGTAAATCCTTTTTTAAAAATATTTATGCTGTTTTTTATTTTCCAAAATCTTATGGATTTTGGATGTACTACATTTGCAATGGGTAGAGGGAAGAGAGAATGGATAAATACTACTTTGAACTAATTCTTTCTCTCCAATTTCTCCAATTATTACTTCTCAAAGTTCCCTTCATTAAACCCTCTTCCCCCTGCCCACCAAAGTTCTGTGTACCACCATCTTTTCAGGCTAAATTGTTCTATTAATACAATATCTGATTTACGCTCATGATACTCACTTCTATGTATGAGGATCAATTCCCCAAAAGTGTAGCCCAAATTCTGAGCTGAGTTCCACATCTTAACTAGAGATCACTAGATGTCTTTCTCATCCTAAACTTGCTGTGTCTAAAATCAAACTCATTTTTCATTATAAAAACAACATTTATGCTAGAATTTTCTGTTTCCACCAATTCTCCCAGATACCAGAAACCACAGAATTATCTTGGTCTCTTCTCACATCTACATAGTAACCAGGTCCCATTGCACTTCTTTGTACACTTATGTTAATCTTTTCTACTGCCATTAATACTATCTTGGCATGGTTGAAGATCATTTCACAGAGAACTTTTCCAACAGTCTCCTCCTTCTATCCATAATGTATACCACTGACAGTTTAATGTACTTAAAATTACCACTTCACACTTGTCAGTCCCACTGAAAGATTTCAAAAGCTCCTGACTGCCTAAAGACCAATTTCACTTAATATTCACATGCCCTCACAATTTGCACTAACATACCTTCGTAAGCTCCTTGACCTAATGTTCTACAACAATTGCCATTATCCAAGTGAACTGATCTTATTCATTACCAGAACATTCTCCGGCTTCCCTTCTCTGTCTTTGCTCATATCATGCCCCCAAATTTCTAAGTTCTACCCTCTATCTATGGTTATCACCAAATTCTACTCATTTTCTCTTGCTAGAGCCATCTTCTAACACCTATTCCACTGTGGCAACCAATTCTATTAATAATTTCCTCTAGAACTGTTTAATCTATGCTTCTCATTTAGAATTTCCCACGTACTATCTTATAATTCTATTTATTTGAGTTTTATATCTATATCTACATTCCCATTTCCTCTCTCTCATTCCCAGAATATATCTTTCTTTATGTCTTTTTTTTTGGAGACAGAGTCTGACTTTGTGTCCCAGGCATGAGGACAGTGGCGTGATGATAGCTTACTGCAACCTGAAACTGCCAGGCTCAAGCGATCCTCTTGCCTCAGCCCCTGGAGTAGCTGGGACTACAAGTGTGTGCCACCACACCCAGCTAATTTTTCCATTTTCTTTGTAGAGGCACAGTCTTACTATGCTGCTCATAGTCTTACTATGCTGCTCTTGAACTCCTGACCTCAAGTGATCCTCCCACCTTGGCCTCCCAAAGTGCAAGGATTACAGGCATGAGCTACCACGCCTAACCATGTCTTTTAATAGTCTAGACTTTGGTAACCACAAAATAAAGCTCAAATTATAGGCTAATTTTTGGGAAAGGGATTCTTTATGAATTACGTACCAAACCTTACAAACTACCTTTAAAAAGGTATTAGCTTTATTAATTTACAACAAGAAAGGAAGTCAAGACAATTAGAGCTAAAAAGAGGGTTCTCTGAGAAGGCCAAATGCAAGAACATAGAAAATATATTAAATGTTTTTATATATCACTAATAATTTTACAAACAAAATGAGGGAGACTATTCATATTGGCAACCAAGAGTAAACAAATACACAGGTATCAATCTAATGAGGAGTACACAGACTTCTTATGAAGAAAACTGTAAAATAAAAATATAACACTACTGAAAGGGAGAGAGGGAGGGATGGAGGGAAGGAAGATGGGAATATATAGATTTTGTATTATCCTAATCAAAATCAAAAACCATTTTTTTTTATTTATTTATTTTTTGAGACAGAATCTTACTCTGTTGCCCAGGCTAGAGTGCCGTGGCGTCAGCCTAGCCCTCTCGAGTAGCTGAGACTACAGGCACATGCCACCATGTCTGGCTAAAAAAACCATTTTTTAATAGAACTTGACAATTTGATTCTAAAATTTGGAAGATAAAACTTTTACTTTTTATACCTCATAATTATTTAAAAATGTACAAATCTATATTTATATCACTTACATAAGTGATTAATATATGTGATATTTATATTACTGTTAAAAGAATAATTTTTAATTACTAATCATTTTCCAACAGTTAAAAAATATCATGTTCCAGATCATGTTCTGAATTTCTAGTGTTATCATTTTTCATTTCTTTGCTGCACTTTCATCTTTGTTGACCAAATCCCTCTTCAAATACTCATTTTTGTAAAATGTCACACATTTCTCACTGGGAAACAAGGAGGCAACACAACTGTATGCTTTGCTGTCTATGCATGAACTGAATAACAGATGCACAGTGACTAATCACTGACAGGTTCTGAAAGAAATGACATGATTGGTGACATGATGCACATCTATAATTTACATAGTAATGTGTAGACAGCAAATGAGAAGTTTGCACATGTACAATTACTCAGTTAATATATCATGGTAGGTGAAATCTGAACCATACTGTTAGGGAACTGATACAATTTAACTGTTGTCATTGAAATTCATGTGCACAACAACCATATAAAGCAAGAAATGCCTGTCCATAAACATTCTTATGTATAAAGTATAACATTAACAAAGCAAAAATTTTAAATAGGATCCTCAAAATTTTCATCACATTGCCAAATACCATAAACCTGAAAGCAAAGATGAAGTCATTTATAGGTGTCCTACAGATACAAAGTCACAATTACTCCTTGACTTTCATATATTTGATATTTTTCATATCACCTCACTTTTTAACAAGAGCATATGGATACCTATTAACCATCTTTCATAGATGGGATGTGTACCTTAATATATCAAGAAAAAAAGGAGATTTCAAGCTTTCATATGATGGCACTGCCTGCTGGAAAAGAGTACCACTTTAGCTGTGTTCTCATCTTATTACAGTAGCATTTATTTGTGCAAATACATATTTTGACCTTATATAAAAGTATGTCAAAAATAAAATTAGTAATGGTGGAGATAAAAAGCAAGAGTAGTAGCAGGCACGGTGGCTCACGCCTGTAATCCTAGTCTCTGGGAGGCTGAGGCGGGAGGATCACTCAAGGTCAGGAGTTCGAAACCAGCCTGAGCAAGAGCAAGACCCTGTCTCTACTAAAAATAGAAAGAAATTAATTGGCCAACTAAAAATATATAGAAAAAATTAGCCGGGCATGGTGGTGCATGCCTGTAGACCCAGCTACTCAGAAGGCTGAGGCAGAAGGATTGCTTGAGCCTAAGAATCTGAGGTTGCTGTGAGCTAGGCTGACGCCACGGCACTCTAGTCGGGCAATAGAGAGAGACTCTGTCTCAAAAAAAAAAAAAAAAAAATGCAGAGTAGTAATAAGAAAAATGGGTTTTATAAATTTAATTCTACTGAAACAAAAGCAGGACTGTTTAGCATTAGATAGTCACTGAAATTAAGCCAGTTTTCCATGTGAATGTGAAACATAAAATGAATATATAGAAAGATTGCAACACAAGTTGTAACAATATTTTATTAAAGATGATATATATGATTAGGAATTAAATCTTTAGTTTCTGGCAATGGAATCCCTCTAATAACATATTAGTCAATTGTTTGATTTTGCATTACAGCTGAAAACCGGTGAATGCTCTTATATTTAATAATACTTATTAAAAGCTTTAGGCCACTACACTGAATAAAGTATTTCTACTGCTAGTAATGGAATTTGAAAAACAGAAGAAAGAATGCTGCCAATAATTAGGTAATGAAATGACAAAGAAAAAAATCCTTTGGTAACCCTCTTTGAGGAAGTCAAAATAGGATTATGTATTATCTTATTTTATCTTCAAAATTATTTAACTCCCTCATTCACATAGGAGAAATATCTTGATATTAGAGATAGGAAAATTAAAACTGAGAAAAGATGAAATGAAAACCCAAGTTGCTTGATTTTGATACTTCCATACCATACCTCCTTCCTTAACATTTTTAGACAGGGAATTCTAATTTAATAATAAAGGGTAAATGGGATGTTAGATTTGGTATCTAAAATATCTAATAGATATTTAATATACTATAATCACTTGTCCATTTCCTTAAATCCAAGTAATCTAGTTTTTACCTACCCCAACAATTCGCTTCATAGCATCCAATTTAGCAGAATCTTTGTTGCTCTCCAACATTTGTTTTAGATCTTCATTCCTGTTACAAAAAAGAAAAATAAAATTCATACTTAGATTGCACATTAAACAGTTTGAAATATATCATTGTTTTTGTAAGAATTAGAAATAATATGATGGGCAATGTTAAGTAACTGCAGCCAGAAGGTGGCCATCTACAAGCCAAGGAGAGAAGCCTCAGAAAAAAACAAACCTGCTGACACCTCAATCTTAGACATCCAGCCTCCAGAATTGTGAGAAAATAAATTTCTATTGATTTGCCACCCAGTCTGTGGCATTTTGTTATGGCAGCCCTAGTAAACTAAAACAGAGGTTAAATGTTACAAACTGTCATTGGAGGAAAAAAAAATAAGTAAAAGCTAGGCACATTTTTTCTAAAAAAAAAAAAAGCAATGAAATTTATTATGAAAAAAATTACTCTTACTTTCTAAGCAGCTCATAAAATTAAATATTATGGTGACCACTAGTGAAACACCAAAAGTAATTAATTAAAACACCTATCTAGGCCAGGTGTGGTGGTTCACGCCTGTAATCCTAGCACTCTGGGAGGCGGAGGCAGGCAGATTGCTCGAGGTCCCGAGTTTGAAACCAGCCTGAGCAAGAGCAAGACCCCGTCTCTACTATACATATAAAGAAATTAATTGGCCAACTAATATATATAGAAAAAAATTAGCTGGGCATGGTGGCACATGCCAGCTACTCGGGAGGCTGAGGCAGCAGGATTGCCTGTGCCCAGGAGTTTGAGGTTGCTGTGAGCTAAGCTGATGCCATGGCACTCACTCTAGCCTGGGCAACAAAGAGAGACTCTGTCTCAAAAAAAAAAAAAAAAAAAAAAAAAAAAATACAGCTAGAAAATATTGAAATAGTACAGACGGCAATATATAAAAACTATCTCGAGGATAAACAACTACTAAATATATATAAATGTTCACCTTAATGATAAATTCATTCTAAATGAATCCCTTCTTAAAGCTTCTCAGGTTCTTTCACATTTCACAGTTAACAAAAATGGAGGAAAAATTCATGAAACCACACATACATGACTTTATTTTTTTCTTCTACCTTTTGCTATTTTCCCATTTTACTTCATGATGATGTATACATTTAGAAACGAAAAACCTAAAAGAAACCTTAAAATACCTTACTAGAGGGTAGGAAAGCAAAAAAATACAAGTCATTAGATAGGAACTAAACAGAAAAGAGATATGATCACCCATATATATGCCAAAAAGAATAATTTTCTCCTACTTGTGGCCCTTTTCTTTTCCCCAAGTGTGTTCCACCATTGACTCCCACGAGTGTTTTCTAGAAACAGGAGTAAGCAATGAAGCGGGATTAAGTGTCAATTTTTAGCACTTAACAATCTCTAACCCCAAACATAATCAAATCTTATTCATGCACTGATGGAAACTTGGTTTGTTACTCTTCAGCCCTAGTTGCCACAGTCCCCTCCCCAACTACCTGCTCTTTCAAACAAGAAAACAGAACCCTAATATTAAAGTCAAAGGTTTTGCTCTGTGTTTCACAGAAAGCTAGTCTTCAACAACAAATACAAATATCTTTTATGTTAATACAAGCATAAAAGCTAATAAATTTGAGGTTCAGAGAAAAGAGACAAGAAAAATTCTAGGTACTGTGTCAACTTGATATAATATTCAACTTTTCACATATCCACCATAAAGATTAGAAATTCTGATATAAATTACATATTTCTCCCCAAACTCCTCAGTGTGTCACCAAGACAATAAAGATTTTGCAGAGTTAGTACCATAACACCTACCTTACTTTCAAAATATATTCACTACTAGTGAGTCATTTTAGGTCTACCTCCTTCATTATGTCAATTCAAATATGATCCATTAACATGTATTATTACACAAATCTTAGATATTAAGGAATTTTTTGCTAAATATCAATAGTTAAGTCAAAATAATGCTGAATTAGAAACATTTTCCTTGAATCTATGCTGAGAACCAAAACTTGTTTCAAATATATACATTTTTAATTTACCTAGTTACCAATGGGTTTCTCTCTTTGAGTATAAGGATACCAACTTTATTTTTACATAAGTGACATCTTGTGGTGTTAAACGGTATAACTTTTCCTTTCATGTTCGAAAGGAGCCTGTTTTAAGTTTCAGGGAATAGAGAAGAATACATAAAGTAAACCTTACTATTACCAGGAAATTTATTCTTATTTCTGTATCAGCATAAACTACTAACTATAATCTAAAGGCAAAATTTTACAAGTAACATATTAGAACATAGGAAATGTTAGGTCTTTTACACAGTATGTTAGGTCTTTTACATGCTACTCGAAGCATGATCTGAAAAAGTCTGGTTGGAGAATCATTACCAAATTCACAAACTTTTGTGACTACCCCATGAGCCACTGCTATGTATCAAATTTAGAGTCAGCTTATTTAGAAACTTGACAGAGATCTGACAATGTAATTTTATTTTTTATTGAATTTAATTTTAAAAATTGATACTTGTACTTAATATGCTTTTTTCATTTTACTTTTCTAATAATTTATTTTTTTATGATATTTTGTAGAAGTATCCATCCATAATGGACTGGAAATTTAAAAGGAGAAAAAAGGGGGGGGGCTTCAGTTTGAGAGCACTGCACCACAGTTATCTTCTTTTTTCTCAAAACACTCACCAAAAAAGGTGTACCATGGAAAGCAACACCTGTAACTCAAATCCAAGAATTACGGATTAGAAAGGTTATAAGGAATAGTGATTTCTGATCAGAGGTATGCCTCTAAAAAGGATTCATTAAAATCTTTTTTGGGGGAGGGGTTGGACTTTTACAGAGCCCTGACAAAAAACTCTAACAATATTGGCACTTCCTTTTTGAGAACCACTCAAATAAAAGATGCTATACCCAATGGACTGCATTGCAAAAAATGAACAGATACGCAGAAAAAGGCTGTAAACCAAAGTCAGAATTTACCTTTCCTAGTGCTGTGTAGTCAAAGAGATTGGCCTTCTTAATAAGGTTTTGTGCACATTAGGGCTTAAAAATAATGCTTTTAGTTCAGTTAGAGCCTACATTTTCCTTGGATGATGCTCAAAACCTTGTATATAGCTTTTGGCACAAAGCATTCTCTTAATAAATGCAAGAGAGAGTAAAAACAAAAAACTTCAACTACCATTGCTAGTGCCTTTAACCATCTACTCACCCATCTATTTACTTTCTAAAAGGAGGAACCATAAATTATCCAAGTAAATATGAACATTTCCTCCCCAATTTCCTCACAAGACTAAAAAGGAAGTAGTCTGTAATTACTATAGCTACTTCCTCATTCCCTGGTAATCTTCCTTTTCTCTCTCAGTCTTCAATTAAAACTTTTCTCACACAGGGCAATAAATAACCTCCTAATTAAAAAATCCAATGCAAAATCTCATAATAGTTTTAGATTATTCCTCTATATTTGACAGAACTGTATTTGACTGCTTTCATCTTGAAATTTCCTCCTCCTTTAGGTTCACTCTACTCTCATCTGGTTCTCCATTTGTATTTGTGACCCACAAATGAACCAAAAAAAAAAGAAAGAAAGAAACCTTGCCCTCATAGAGATTTCACCGCAGAAAGTTTAAGAAACAACAAACATAAATAAGAAAATTATAAGTCATGAGTTGACATAGGAAAAAAATAAAACAGAGGGAGAGAGAATGCAGACGGGAAAGGAGGAGGCAATTTTAAATAGGGTGGTTTAAGTAAGCTAAATAAAAAAAAAAAGGAACATCTGAACCAAGATTTGCAAGGGGAGGTACTAGCTATGCAGATATTTGGGGAGCAGGGGCAGGGGACACAGAGGAAGAGCACTCCAGGTGAAAGAGACAATCAATGCAAGGAGGTTAAATAGTTCTAAAGGTTTTGGTGTTTACTCTGAATGAAATAAGGAATTACTAGAGGGTTTTGAACAGAGGAGAATCATGATCTGATATATTTTCCAGTATCATTCTGGCTGCTATGTTCAGAATACACTATAGGGACTTCCCTATCTGTCAACAACGCAGTAGCATATAAAAGACTAAACCTGCCACAGACAAATATAAAAGCTGAAAATATATATATATACACACACACACACACAAACATATATACATATATAATATTAAATAACTTTCTGAAGACACTGAAAATCCACAAATTCAGGCAGGACTCAAGGGAACACAATCTTTGAAAGAAGAGAAGCACACATGGTGAGTTCCTCATTCACATCAGCTTTTTCCCAAGAGCACATATCCCCAAACTGCCAAGTGGCAGAATAGAGCCGAAGGAGAAGTCATAGTCTTAATGGACTGAGGAAATAGATATTGAAGTTCAGAGCTACCAGAGTGACTGAAACTTGAAGGGCAAAATCACAGAGGCGGGAACCAGTAAAAAGGTGCACAAAAATCTGTGCACAAACTCCCTTCAAGTAGCTACATTTTCACAGGATGAGATTCCAGGAAACCAGCAAAAAACAGCAGCTGGGTAGTAAGATACGTGAGCAAAAATTTCTGCAACCACACACTGCTGGGAAAAGAAGGTACAGTTCAAGTTTCTCCTAAGGAGAAAGGACTTAGTAAATATCCTGGGCTTTCCATTAAGACTACTAAAGGGCCATACAGAACAGAAAGGGTGATGTTCTAGGAGCATAAGAAAAACTGAAATAGGCCAGCCATGCTGGCTCACACCTGCAATCCTAGCACTTTGGTAGGTCAAGATGGGAGGACTGCTTGAGGCCAGGAGTTCAAAACCAGCATGGGCAACATAGCGAGATCCCCCTCTCTATGGAAAATTTTAAAAATTAGCTAGACACAATGACACACAACTGTAGTCCTAGCTACTGGGAAGGCTGAGGCAGGAAGATCACTTGAGCCCAGGAGTCAAAGGCTGCAATGAGCTATGATCACACAACTACATTCCAGCCTGAGTGACAAAATAAGACCTTGTCTCTGAATAAATAAATAAGAAAAATTGAACTAAACAAGACCTTAAAAAGTATAAAACTGAGCTTCAACAAGA